GAGAGGGTCGTTCTGCCAGACCGAGGGGCCGGAGGTGAGCAGCGAGGCCCAGGTGAGAGGACCCCGCGGCCGCCGGCACCCTGGACGAGACGGATACACAACTCTTCTGGAATCCCGGCTTGAGCAGAGATAAACAACTTGACTGAAATGCCTTGATTCAAATAACATTCATGACTTTGATTCATGTCCATTTTACCTCGCAATTCCCTAAAAATGGTTTTGCGATGACGAGCCTCCGCTGAGAAGTCAACTTGAATTCCAGATGGGATATTGCTGATCACCCAGACCTGCACAGCCCCTTAGACGTCTGGCAGCAACTGACCTGTGGGGAGTGACTGAATGCTAAAAGCGGCGTCAAAGAGAGGCTATTTAGACTGTTGAACAGTGGTCAGGATACTAACGCGGGCTCGCAGACGTACCACGATTTTCCACTAGTTCATGACGTCACAATTTTTGGGAAACCGTAATACAAGAACCCCACACGACATTCTGCCTCTCCCGCCCCAGCGCACCACCACGTCGCCGATCTCTGCTCTCCCTTGCATTCTCCGCCGTGCCTGGGCCGGGCCCCACGCTCCGGTCGCCGCGCAGCCCGCGCCACAGCTCGCCATCTTGCGCCGCCGGCCGCCGCATCCCTCATCGCCGCAGCGCGGAACCGACAACACGGATTATCCATTTTGTCGGCGACCATCCGTCAGAGCTCTGAGAGCAGCGGCGGCGGCGGGCGGCCGTCGCCATTGAGTCGACGGCGGCGACGACACCCGGCCGCGCTCGCCCTCTGGCCGCTAATGGCTTCAAATGGTGCATCGCGCCGGGCGGCGCCGCCATAAAGGCGATGCCCCCGCCGGCGGCGGCCATCTTGGAGACACGCCGTCGCCGGCCGCGGAGGCGCCGAGACTCTGCCTCGGTCTTGTTCGCGGAGGCGCCGAAACTCTGCACCGGTCTCGTTCGCTCTTCCCTCGCCCGCCCACTCCTTTCTCCCCCGCACTCCCACGTCTCCCTCGCTCGCTCTCTCCCTCTCTTCCTCTCTCCCTCTCCCTCACACTCACTCCCTCATACTCTCTCCCTTTCCCTCCCCATCTCACCCTTCTTTTTCTCTCCCTCTTTCTCCCTCTCTCTCCCCCTCACCCACAGAGCCCTGCACTGCGAACACCCAGCTGCCCCCACCGTGGCAGCCGGGTCCCCCGCTCGCCGTCGGGCCGGCACAGCCGTCCGAACGTCGCCGATAACATCATCCAATTGCCGAGTCTACGGAACGTGGCAGTGTGCCATTTTTCGCGGTGCCCGTGCACAAATTGCCCGACGGACCTTGCTTGTCATACGCGCGGCGCTCTGTCCAACAATGGCCCACGCGCCACTCCGCCGACCAAATAATCATTGTGGTCTGCCTCCCCGCCTTTTTGTACATAAATCACAACATTATGTCACACATTGTACCGCGTCCGTGGCGCGTCCATTGAGGGGGTCGATTTCTGCTGATACTCGCCCTCCCTCCCGCTGAGATGCACGTGTCCGGCGATACGTTACGCCGCAGACACTGCGCCCGGCACGGCGCGATACCGCCGCGAACAAAATATGGCCGTCCCCGCCTGCTGTCGTAAACGCATGCTTCCCAGCTGGTTTGTAATTATGACGATGGTGCGATTATCAGAATGCTCACCACGGAGAGTAACAGAACAGAAAACTAAGATATCTGCGTATATGGCTAAAAGACAAATTCAACTGGAGCAGCTGGTTTGAGTGCTGCAAAGATAGCTGCGGCGCATCGAAAACGGGATTAGTACAGCCCTGGATAGAATTCAGTCTTGCACATAAAGAGAGTTTTCCACGTTTATATGGGGTTTTGAACTGAAATAGCTATATTCAGACATTTCGGTGCTGCTCACACCCCTGCCATTCTTTAGACCTAACTCTCTCTAGCTTTTGAGCTACATGCACGCAAAAATGGGGAAAGCATTTCGGGAAGAAAACTTCGAAGTCATCGTGGCATTCATGCCATCACAATCAAGCCATCGAAATCCTGTCATTCTATAAGTTGCGGCGATCAAGGCCAATGAAAATGTAATTGTCGAGACGTTCAAATCCGGCGATCGTGAGCCTGGTTTCCAGGTATAACAGCCGTCAATTGGCCAATTCAGTTTTAATCAAGGCTGTGAAGGGTACGATGACGTAATAAAACCATGACGCATTTAGAAGTATATTTACTAAACAGATAGCTGTGGTGTCTAGAGCAGCTTTTCTACTTAGGAAGTGTACAAAGGATCATAAGTGGGCTTGTTTCATGATGTTTAATGCCTGCTGGATATTTTGACATGTGAAGCCTTACCTTTAATATAGGGCGTATCAGTGTGGTGCTAATTAGTCCGGCTAGGCTGTACCGCCGTACGGTGCTGACTAGCGGCGCAGTCGGTGGCCAGGCGCCAGCTGCTCTGACATCTATCGCCTGGTGGGGCACTAACGTCTTCGGCCACCGCCGCCTTAAGAAACGTCGCAATCGATCGCTGCCGAACAATTAAAAACGTGACGATTTGACCAGACACGTGATAACACAATCGCGACCATCCGAACGATGCAAATTAATAGGTGATTCTCTTAGAAGCTGTCACACTGAACTCTGCGCATCTTGTTCTTACGTAGTCACTGGGAGTAAGCATGCTGGCAATGAAACTTTGTCGTACTTCAAATATGCCTCCACACAACATTTCATTCGTGTTAGGATTTTTTCATTTAAATTTTAACTGCGTCCTATCCTTAGCCCCCGTCAGAATCATGATCGCGTCCAGGTCTTAAGCTCTGGCTGGCGAGTGACGGTTATGAGGAGGAGCTTTCTTCCTCGTTCATCTGCAAATAGCAGAATGCGAAGGCGCATTTGACTGCCAGATAAAGCGCTCAAGCGTTAGTCAGCACAGCACTCTTTATTTTTAGAACTGGCTTCAGTTGCAGATTTGCACCTAGCTCGACGTCGTATGCACGCTCGAGGTTTGTCGTTCCATTTCCCCCAACTCATTGTGCAAGTCACTTCAATGCCAGCGGGGCACGACATCGATGACGGGGCAGCAGACATGGCCGCAGAGTGCTGCAGCTGGCCCTCTGTTACCACCGATGACAAGATGCTCTGTTACCACCGATGCTCTGCAGCAGATATGGCCGCAGAGTGCTGCAGCTGGGCCTGTGTTACCACCGATGACAAGATGCTCTGTTACCACCGATGCTCTGCAGCAGATATGGCCGCAGAGTGCTGCAGCTGGGCCTGTGTTACCACCGATGACAAGATGCTCTGTTACCACCGATGCTCTGCAGCAGATATGGCCGCAGAGTGCTGCCGCTGGGCCTGTGTTACCACCGATGACAAGATGCTCTGTTACCACCGATGCTCTGCAGCAGATATGGCCGCAGAGTGCTGCAGCTGGGCCTGTGTTACCACCGATGACAAGATGCTCTGTTACCACCGATGCTCTGCAGCAGATATGGCCGCAGAGTGCTGCAGCTGGGCCTGTGTTACCACCGATGACAAGATGCTCTGTTACCACCGATGCTCTGCAGCAGATATGGCCGCAGAGTGCTGCAGCTGGCCCTCTGTTACCACCGATGACAAGATGCTCTGTTACCACCGATGCTCTGCAGCAGATATGGCCGCAGAGTGCTGCAGCTGGGCCTGTGTTACCACCGATGACAAGATGCTCTGTTACCACCGATGCTCTGCAGCAGATATGGCCGCAGAGCGCTGCAGCTGGCCCTGTGTTACCACCGATGACAAGATGCTCTGTTACCACCGATGCTCTGCAGCAGATATGGCCGCAGAGCGCTGCAGCTGGCCCTCTGTCACCACCGATGACAAGATGCTTTGTTACCACCGATGCTCTGCAGCAGATATGGCCGCAGAGTGCTGCCGCCGGGCCTCTGTCACCACCGATGACAAGATGCTCTGTTACCACCGATGCTCTGCAGCAGATATGGCCGCAGAGTGCTGCAGCTGGGCCTCTGTCACCACCGATGACAAGATGCTCTGTTACCACCGATGCTCTGCAGCAGATATGGCCGCAGAGTGCTGCAGCTGGGCCTGTGTCACCACCGATGACAAGATGCTCTGTTACCACCGATGCTCTGCAGCAGATATGGCCGCAGAGTGCTGCCGCTGGGCCTCTGTCACCACCGATGACAAGATGCTCTGTTACCACCGATGCTCTGCAGCAGATATGGCCGCAGAGTGCTGCAGCTGGGCCTGTGTTACCACCGATGACAAGATGCTCTGTTACCACCGATGCTCTGCAGCAGATATGGCCGCAGAGTGCTGCAGCTGGGCCTGTGTTACCACCGATGACAAGATGCTCTGTTACCACCGATGCTCTGCAGCAGATATGGCCGCAGAGTGCTGCCGCTGGGCCTCTGTCACCACCGATGACAAGATGCTCTGTTACCACCGATGCTCTGCAGCAGATATGGCCGCAGAGTGCTGCCGCTGGGCCTCTGTCACCACCGATGACAAGATGCTCTGTTACCACCGATGCTCTGCAGCAGATATGGCCGCAGAGTGCTGCCGCTGGGCCTGTGTTACCACCGATGACAAGATGCTCTGTTACCACCGATGCTCTGCAGCAGATATGGCCGCAGAGTGCTGCCGCTGGGCCTCTGTCACCACCGATGACAAGATGCTCCGTTACCACCGATGCTCTGCAGCAGATATGGCCGCAGAGCGCTGCAGCTGGGCCTGTGTTACCACCGATGACAAGATGCTCTGTTACCACCGATGCTCTGCAGCAGATATGGCCGCAGAGCGCTGCAGCTGGGCCTGTGTCACCACCGATGACAAGACAGCAGACAAGGTCGCAGAGCGCTGCAGCTAGGCTTCTGTTACCACAGATGACAAGACAGCAGACAAGGTCGCAGAGCGCTGCAGCTGGGCTTCTGTTACCACAGATGACAAGACAGCAGACAAGGCCGCAGAACGCTGCAGCTGGGCTTCTGTTACCACCGTTCTGACCTGCCTCGTCTATCGACAGATCGTGACTCCCGACTCCGACATGAAAGGCTACCTGGACGGCAGCGAGTTCGGCAACTGGCTGAGGTTCGTGGCCTCTACGCAGGACGCGAGTCAGCAAAACGTGCAGCACATCTTGCTGTTCGGATCGGTGAGTTCGTTGGACTGTGCGGCCACCGGCGTTTGCTGGCTTCGCTGGCGGCTCGCTGCTGTCGCCCAACTTTGATCATCTGCAGATTCGCTGGACTTCTGTCTATTCTCCGCCTTGTGTTGTGCGTGTGCATGAAAAGTGGCGTGTGCTCAGAGCCATTGGTGTCTTAGGATCTGGGATTGGGCTGTTGGCTCTTTCGAAACTGTCGTGCCCAACAGTGTCATGCTCAGCCCAGCAGCTAATGACTGACATAGTTAGACAATAAATGGCTGGTTAATTACACTACAACTGACACACACCGTGTTAATTAGGTCGTTCCATTAACGCGCCTCGTTTCGTTGATGTTCCAGCTTTATTACGAGACAATGGTGGACATTGAACCGGGCACTGAACTTCTTCTAGCAAGGAAGGTCCCTATTCTCCTGAACAAGCTGAATGATTCAGCCATAGATAATTCAGGTAAGTCAGATTGTGGGTTGTCACGCATCAGTGCCGATATGAACACTTCGTCGCTTAAAACGCGCTGGAACCGGTTCTTTGGAGCATGCACGTGCTCTTGTGGTTTGTTTCGATTTTCGATTATTGTTATGACCAGCAAGCAGGAATCGCAGCCACAGAAAGGACGCGATAAGACGCCGGCGGTACCTCGATTGCTGCTCGTGCAACGAACACTACCATCACCATTTGCGACGTCAATTTATTTGCGTGGCGGAACCAAGTCCAGCAGCATTAGGCCGGACACTGGACGCGACATTAGGTGCGATTTGGCACCCCGCCTTATCACTGCACTATCCTGCTGGATGCCTAGGCGCCATTGTCCGCCGTCGCGGCGTACGACCGGCCAGATTGGCGTAATAGCCGCCTGTGTTTCCTTTCGGGGGCACGCTGAGCCGACGGCAATCGTGGGCAGCATTGACACCGCCAGGTGACATTAGGCGTCCATTTGAGGCTGAACGGAGGGGTCTGTAGGGGCTCCTCCCCGGCTCGTGCCCGCTTTAGGTGCGGACGCGCGCGCCGTCGTCAATCTGGAACACTTCATCATTGTCTATCCGGTAATGGATTTATTGTTGCCGACGCTATTCAACGGCGGATGATAACCGATTAAAATAAATCACCGCGGCGTGCCAGCCGCCTGTCGCGCCCGCGTCGCAAAAGTCCAAATCCCGGCCATAAATCAGGCGAAATGACCTCTAGCGACGGGGGCGTGACGGCGAGCGGCGGGCGCGCGCTGCGTCCACTGGTCGGCAAATTGTTACCTGTGAGACGAGCGACGGCCGACGCGCGCCGTATGTGTGTCGCTGCGCTCAGTCGAACCCTTTATCATTGCCCGTCGGCGCATGGCATGACGGACAGCGGCGGGGTCGGGCGCGATCGACTCTGAAGCCCGTTAGCTGGGCAGGTGCGCGCGCGCGGCGCCGCGGTCATTACGGCTCCGACAAGCAACCCTTTGAGGCCGGTAATCACGTCGAGTCTGATTCGTCATCGGACGCGCGTCACCCGGCCGTTTTTTGTCGGTAATGGACTCGCGCTGAATAGGTCTTTCAGGCGCACCGGCGCCCGGTGTGGCATTATGGGCTGATTTCAATACGCCGGCAAATCGCGCCAGATCTGACCGCAGCGGGTGCTGCACGGACGCGCGACCGCACGCGCCACCGATTGTGTGCGGCGCGGACGCTCCCGGCGCGGGCGCGGCGCGCCGCGGCCGCGCCGGGCCGCATCCGGACGGCCGGCGCGACACACCGGGCCAGCTGGGCCCGTGCGTGCGACACCGGACCGCTCCCCGGGCGTCCCGCCGGCGCTCCGGAAGTGCGGAGGAAACCAATAAAACACGCGGCGGCGGCGGCCACGTCGGAAGCGGCGACCGGCCGGCGCGCGGCGCGCGCTAATCGCCGCGTAATCACAGCCAATCGCGTTTTTTGGGCCGTCCAGCCGCGCGGGTTGACGCGCTGCGCCGGGTGAAAAAGCGCGCGGGATGCCGGCACGCACGGTGGCGCGGGAGGCGCACCGGTCAGATGTGCTCTGTTGCACGTGCGCCGGAACAGGATGCAGGGGTCTAAACAAGCGAGGGACTGCTCTGCAGGGGCATGGGCTCGTTAACCGCTGAAAAGGCGCCAATAACCGTCGATTGGCGCGCTTTACCGACGTCCGGACATCCGCGGGCGCTCATGGGGTGACGGTCGGCTGTGACAGCCGTCATGACGGTCAGCTGTGACAGGCGTCACGACGGTCCCTGCAGCCGTTCCCATGACGGCCGATTGTGACCAGATCATCGGCCGTGACGGTCCTCGCCGGATGACTGATGCGACCGGCGACGCGACGTGACGCGCCTGCGTCGGCTGTTGTGACAGCTCCGGCCCCAGACGTGCCTGCCGCCGTGACGGCGCGCGCCGCGGCGTCCCGCCAACGGCCGCGCTCTCGGTGACAGGGCCACGCCTGCTCTCCAGCGGCGCGCCAGCCACAGACCGAGCGGCCGACCGCCCCCGGCCAAATCACACCCCGCCCGCCACGTCCGTCGCGTTCTTTAGAACACAAACAGCGCGGCCGTGTGACAGCCGGATAAAGAACAGGAAGCGCCGGCACGTGCGACGCTTTGTGCCGCCGGCGCTGCCGCCGGCGCGCGCCTGTAATGACGCCGCTGTGACCGGTCAGCAGACCGAGAGCGACAGATGGGCCGCTGGCGTCTGACCCCCTCCCCCGCTCACCCCCCGGCGAGGGAGGCGTAGGAATGCGGCCCATGCCGACCCCGTTTTTGTGACGAAACTGACGCTCTCGCGACGCGGGAACAGGCGCACGGAGGCGCACCGCTGGAAAGGCGGCAGAATGGACCGAGGAAAGAACTTCGCGAACGATGTTTGCGGCACGGCGCGCTGTGGCTCAGCATGCCACTGCCACTGCCATCTTCGGTATCACGAACCACCAGCGCCCATGCGTCTGTCAGCATCAATGGCCCGCAGACTCGGAAGAGGTCAGTTTGTACCGTTGATGCGTGCAGAACGCGCTGTTGTGATTGTAAATATATACTATACTACGTCTGTTGACTGCTGGAGCATTCCATACATATTATGGGGAGGATGACGTGCAACCACTGAGGTGATTAGGGCGGATCCACGGGTGCCAACGGAGACGTGATTTCTTCGAAAACGATAGAACCGTCTCACCGGGGGCGTGCTGGAGCAGTCAGCCACGAGTCGACCCCACCGCCGTAATGGTGGGAAGTCCCGCCCAAACGCTCCACGCGTCCCACACCGCCCAAGTCCCACATCGCCATACGTCCCACACCGCCACACGTCCCACACCGCCATACGTCCCACACCGCCACACGTCTCACACCGCCACACGTCCCACACCGCCACACGCCTCACACCACCCCACGTCCCACACCGCCACACATCCCACACCGCCATACGTCCCACACCGCCACACGTCCCACACCGCCACACGTCCCACACCGCCACACGTCTCACACCACCACACGCCCCACACCGCCACACGTCCCACACCGCCACACGCCCCACACCGCCACACGTCCCACGTCCCACACCGCCACACGTCCCACACCGTCACACGTCTCGCACCGCCACACGCCCCACACCGCCACACGCCTCATACCGCCATATGCCCCACACCGCCACACGTCCCACACCGCCACACGTCTCGCACCGCCACACGCCCCACACCGCCACACGCCTCATACCGCCACGTGCCCCACACCGCCACACGTCCCACACCGCCACACGTCCCACACCAACACCCACACACTCCGGCGTCTGGTCCTGTGCGGGCTACAGGATGATGGTCATGGCGTCTGGATGATGGTCATGGTGAGAACTCAGGACAGTAGGAATATTTGCCGATCTTATCTCTCTCTCCTCGATCGCATCGCTCTGAAGCGGTCAGTCATGGCCAAAAGAGCTCTAAGCTAACGTAAACCAACTGCGAGAGGCGGAAACATCCAAATGTTTTTTTCCTTATTCAATGACAGTACCATTTTAGTCCCAATGTGATCTTTTCAGGTAGCACCGCATTGCAATGATTTTACCGAAACAGACTTGGTTACAAACTACTGCGAGCATGTATGGCTACCAGGGATGTAGTTCCTTATTCACTGAGGGGGGGGGGGGCTCCAGCCCCCTTCAACTTGGGCTTTCCCAGCTTTGAGAAGAAAGTGGGCGAAATCCCGAGGAAACATCAGTTTTGGCGTATTTTGGTGGCAGGTGGCGTCATTTTTCATCGCTCAGCACCCCCAAGTCATTTTTCATCGCTCAGCACCCCAAGTCATTCTGCAAAACAACGCTCCTGACGGTTACTCCTTTTGTCACAAAATGTCGAAACAGCTGCTGCAAAGTGCTCATGGTGCATGCAATACCTATATCTAGAAGCAACAGCTTAAGGACAAAGACAGCAGCTGTTGCCATCCATGTATACAATATTAGTCAAATGTTTCGTTACCCTTGGTATGATTATCACGGCAGAAAATGCATTATTTCACATCATGCAATGACCAGGAAACAACACCGCGTCCAAGAAGCAGTGCTAGATCACATTTCAGACGTCGTTTATGGAAAGCCTTAGACGTAGCTCTGTTTCCCGATCATTGCACAATATGCAAATGAATATAAATGTATTGTGTATCGAAACGTTCACCCAACAGCTTACGCACCAGCGCTAGCAGCTGTCGCCTTTGCCATCATGTTTTTACACCTTCTGACGACTTTAGGATGCATACATGAGGTGATATATACGAATATATACATATATATATATATATATATATATATATATATATATATATATATATATATATATATATACAAACACATGCACATATATATATATATATATATATATATATATATATATACAAACACACGCACATATATATATATATATATATATATATATATATATATATATATATATATATATATGTGCGTGTGTTTGTATGCATTTATGCCTATACATGTATGCATATACAGTCTTTATATACATTCATCTATATTCACACACACACACACACACACACACACACACACACACACACACACACACACACACACACACACACACACACACACACACACACACACACACACACACACACACACACACACACACACACACACACACACACACACACACACACACACACACATATATATATATATATATATATATATATATATATATATATATATATATATATATATATATATATATATATATATATATATATATATATATATATATATATATGTATATCTGTACCTGTGGTATATGCGACTGCTCAAAGTCTGATTTTGCAGTTTAGAAGCTTGATAAACAGCCTGCCGTCCCTCCGTGGAGACATGACTTGCTTGCCGTGACTCCGTGGAGACATGACCTGCTTGCACGCTGCAGACTGCAGGTGACAGGGTTTGAACTGTGAGCGCTAACTAACCCAGCGTATGGAATATCACGAT